CGCAGAAACGAGAGCGTCACCATAGCGAATAACCCCACGCGCTGCACCAGGATACATGCAAATGTATGCAAAGAGGCATCAGCCAGTAAACAGAGAAGCAGTGAGGAGCCTCCACCGGCCAAAGGAGAAAGGGGGATTTATTGGCAAAGAATACTGTCTTATTCCAGAGCCAAGGCGTGTCCGAGCCGGGGAAGGCCCGAGGCCAGCAAGACACCCCCCCCCAACTTTATTGGTAAGGAAATTGGGGCAGGGGTGGGGGGAGAGGAAGTGGCCGTCCAAGAGACGACTAGAACAAGTACTTGAGCCTCTGCCCCCCTCCCCCCAAGCCTGTGGCCACCCCGTTATCTCTGGGAAAGGTTTCTGATAGGAATGGAAGGAGGCCTGCGAGGCCTGCTCCTCCTGGGGGAGGGACAAACGGAAAATCAGACTCTCTTCGCATCGCACCACCTGGCTAGGGCCCCTCTGAATACTGACTCAGTGTATATTGGGGGGGAGGGGGCAGGGAGACCCCAGCCACGTAGCCTAACTTTGTGCGGGAAGCCTCTACCACCAGGTCACTCTATCCAGCCTCCAAGCAAAGACCCCATCCGTGGGGCGCCACGTGCTGCCAGACCCAACCAGCCCAGGTCTAGACAACTCAATCCCTGGGCATTTTCTCCTCAGGTCAAGCTGTCCCACCCACATTGTTTCTAGTACTGCCCGGGTCTAATCCCTCTCACGTGGCAGCCCTTCATCACATCCCACTTCTCAGGCCACTCTCCATCCTGGCTTCCCTCCTCTATACACCCTCCGGCTTGCGTATGTCCTTCCTAAATACCACGCTGGACCAGTACACAAAACTCCCAGCATAGTCTGTGAGACGATGCTTCTGGCCATGCATCCCCAGGGCCTCCTGTGGCCACAGCTGTGCCTGGACACCGAGGCAGGAAACGTGTTTGCGTGTGCTCTGCTCAACCACAGGAACGCCAAGTGAGGCTGAGGAATATTAGCCCTGGGCCAGAAAGCGCTTGCATTCAAGGCTGCCTGCTAGGTCTGAGCTCATCTACACGTTAGCAGACTGTGGCCAGGGATGGGCTGCGCTCTCCCCATCCCAATCCCCCACACCCCTCGGGGGCCAACACACCTTTATAGCCCAAGGCCTGGTTTGCTTTCATCTCTCTCACACACACCCACCCACTCACTCACTCTCCCTCCCTCTTTGCTCTTTTTTAGCCCTGGCCAGCCCTTGGTTCACCCAGGACACTTTTTTCCACTCGCCCTACAACCCGAGCCATGCAAGGCCTCGGGGTTGAAGACTGCCAGTCCTAACCCAGAGTCCAGCTGAGCTTGGAGGCAGCAAGGAGCAGGGCTCCCAGGGAACCGGACTCCGCCTTTAGGAGAGTCACAGAGTGCGCGGGGCTAGAAGGGATGATGTTGAGGCTAGAAGGACCTTCTGGCCCATCTCGACTAACTTTCATAATACCGATGAGGAAGCCGGTGCTGGGAGGGGGGGTGGCCTAAGGGGTCAGCAAAAGCACTGTGGGACACTGAAACGTCCGGGACGCTGGGCACGGCCTGGAACAGTACCAGTACCTTCCCGAGTTAGGCCCACTGCTCTTCTGTCCTCCACCATCTTGACACCGGGGACAGGAGGGGGAAGGAAGGGGAAGGATGGGGCCTCGCTGTGGGCAGTACAAGCCTTGGGGCAACGTGCCCACCTAGGCAGGCACCTCTCCTCACTGTCTGCCTCCCATCTCCTTTAGAGGCCGCGGTCTCCCTCCCCTCCCGCTCTCCCAGAAGAAAAAGCATCAAGATTAGCGGTACCTTAAAAAAAAAAAAAGGGTGTTGGGGGAGGGGGGCACCTGGCTCCTAGCGCTTGGTATTTCTGTATATGGAGCTGACATTTGCAGCTCAGTCTCCCAACCCACTTAATTTTAAAAATAGACACTAATAATACTTAATCATCCTTCTCTGCTGGAGACAGGGATACTGTGCAGAGCAGTCCCGACCAACTGCTTGGCACTCGGCTGGGAGGGCCAACCCCCAGGTGGAGCAAAGCCCCTCGCTCCGTCCCACGTGGCCACCAGTGCTCCTCAGGGCCCTGGACCCAGCCCGGAAGGGGCATCCAGCACCTGACTGAGACAGAAGACGCCAGACTGGCTAAACCCAAGAAAGCTTTCCCTGGTGCTGGTCAAGAGGCAGCCACTAGGAGTCAGGCGGGCTGGACCCGGCCGGCCCCACCTGGAAAGGCACCGAGTTAGGACCCTGTGGTTGGGTTCCAGGCTGGCCCACCAGTCTATCTGAGCCAGAAAGGAGCTGTCTTTCCCCTCGGCCTGGATTCTCAAGGGCACAGCTCTGGCAAACGCTGACCTGGGAGGGTCAGGACAGCTCCAGGCACAAGCTGCTTGTCAGTCCTTCCAGGACCCGGGGGTGGGGAAGGCAGGTGTGGTCTACACTGGCTAAGCAGCTGGTGCATCAAATCAGCACTAACGGGGTACACAGGGTCTTGCAAAGAGCTGTAAACAACTGTGGACTTGAGGGGTGCCCCTAGAATCAGCCTCACCTACTAAGGTTTTCCATGGTGAAATGTTTGGGGAGAGGGAGTGCGGACCGAGCATCCTGGGATTCTCTCCTTCCCTCGGCCACAGCAGCCTGGCTTCCAAGGTGGACCTGGGAGGAGTGGCGGTGTGTCCTGCATGGGCCGCTCCCCTGGGCCCCGAGATGGGCGAGGAACGGGAGGGAGCAGACCAGTCAGGTGGCGTGGCATGGAGCATCTGTGAATCAGCCATTCTTCGTGAGGCCCACATCTTTGAGCAGAACGAGGGGAATGGAAGGTGCGAACAATGAAGCAGTCCACACTAGTCATGGCCGAGAGCTAGAGGGCCTTCTTCCCCACAGCTGTCCCCAAGGTGCTCCAGGGTCCAGAGTGCCAAGTGACCAACAGAGCTCTGGGTCTGCCCATCGAGAGGCTTCAGAACCAAGGACAGGAGGCAGCTGGGGCCCGGCCTCGTGCGGATGAGTGGGCACCACCGGCCAAGCTCGGAGAGCGCTTCCCGACTCCCCTGGAGCTTCCCTCCAGCTGACATTCATCTTCGTGACACATGCCACTGGATAATGGCACGGAGGGGGTGAGCTCCCCATTGTTGTAGGGGAGCTGTCCATTGGACCTTCTAGTGCAGATTCTTGGAAATCTCTCCCAGGCTTTTCTCCTGTGGCACCGCAGGCAGGGGCATCCAGACCAGGTGCTGGGGACCACAAGAGCTCAAGGGCAGACCTGGGAGGCGAGATCGGACCCTCTGCCTCCTTACAGCCTGGCCGGGCCCTCTCCCCCGGGATTCGGTCTCCACAACAAAGTCAAAATGACCCTGGGAACTGCTGCCGGCAGGCACTCAGCAAACGAGAGCCATCAGCAGACGCCAGTGGTTTTCCCAACAGAAGACGCCGACCCAACGCCAGGGCAGCCGCCCAACGTGGAGCCACGTGGCCTTGGATCCTGGCTCAGAGGTCACAGAATCATCTGTATCATTGGGCCAGGAGGGGAGCAGTCCACAGGGAGCTCGAGCATCTGCAGCCTCCAAGTAAATCGGAACCTTTGGGAGGTGGAGGAGGAGGAGGAGGAGGAGCTCGTGGGCCTCCCTCCCTGGAGGTGGGATGACCATTGGTCAGGGATGCAGGATGGGAGATTCCTCTCAGGTAAAGGCTGACTTCTGACTCCTTTCCAATTCTGTGATCCACTACTCAAACCCACCCATTTCACAGGAAAGGAAAGTGAGGCATAGTGGAAGGGAGCAAGTTGTCCCAAGATTTCTAGGCTAAGCCAGGTGGGTAACAAAGGTGGACATGGCCAGATGCCTCAGGCCATTCCTAACAAGCACCCCAGGGTCCTGTTCTTCCTGGGGCCAGATGCCCCCCACCCAGGCTTTTGGTACGTTCTTCCACTCCAGGAAAATCACTGGTCTCCCCCGGGGCCATTTTATAAACAAATCCTTGGTAAGGCTGGATTCCTGCCCCCTCTAGCGTGGGACACCGTCCCCCTCTTGAAACCTTAAACTGTGCACCTGGTGACTTCCCGTCCGAGATGGCTGAAGGCACTTGGAGGGTTGGCAAAGCCACTTAAAAAGGCTTTTCTTTTACATCCTCTTCTTGAAAATAAAACCACTGCAAAGTAACACTGCCCAGGAAGGGTCTGCCCTAACGTTCAGCCCAGTCAAGCTCACAGGGCACTGACCAGGACACCTGGCTCGCCCTGGCATGCAGGGCTGGTAACAGAGGGGACCAGAGGGCCCGGCCTGCCAGGTGGCCAGCGCTGACCCTGGAAGGTCGCTGAGGGGGCGGGGAGGGCAGGCGGGAGGCTTCCCTTTCCTGCTCCTCCTCTGCCCCCAGCAGGGAGGGCTAGGCCTGTACGTGGGCCAACCTGCTTGTCTTTGGTCTGCTTGGCCTGTGAATGCCTACCCAGGATGGCCCCGGGGCGAGGAGGGCAGGCGGCTCTACAGAATGCTTTCTTTGGTAATAACTTGTAACTGTCTGGGACATTTCTCTCCTGAGAATTCAGGGGACCATTGACCTAACTGCACAGGATAGAACCCAGTTTTCACATCTCTGGGAGGGGGGCGCTGGACATGAGACCCTGGGAAAGGGTTAGTAACACTGAAGAAAGCAGCCCAGGCTAGCCTCTATGTCCTACTGTGGCCCCTCATTTCCTAAGGAGTCCTGGGGTGGGGAGACAGGGGAGCAGGTACCCACACCGCAGGACCTCTTGGGACCCCAAGCTGCTGTCCAGAGTGCCATTCTGGAGCCCCAAGAAGGCAGAGACTGAGGCTCCCACACTCGGGTCCTACTGGGCATCTGCTGCCTCAGGAATGCAGTCTTTGAGAAGCTCCTGAGGGTCCCTGAGGAAGACCACCAGGACAGTGATATTATCATGGGAGCCCCGCTCACGGGCAGCCGCCACCAGCTCTTCTGCGATCCGCAGAGTACTGCCCTCACTCTGGACCAACAGGTCACGGACCAGGCCGGCTACCTCATCGTGCGAGACGGAGTCGAAGAAGCCGTCGCAGGCCAGGAGAAGGTAGTCTTCCGTGCCCGTGAGCTCGTGGGAGGCCACATCAGCCTCGCCAGACACGTAAGGCTTCTGGAAGGCATCCCCTAGAACAAGGAAGCAGGTGATCACCAAAACCCAGCCTGAAGATGCCTCCTCCACCCTTGCCCCTCCATGGGCCAAGGGAGGCCTCATCTGTGGTCTGTCCCACGGGCCTCAGGGCTGGCTGAGTGAGGGCCGCTTCCACGTAACCGTGGCTGCCTCTCCGTGGGGCCTGGCACATACGAAGCCTCACCGTGTTTAGCCTATATGGCCAGAGTGGGCCATGCAGGACCTGGGGGCTTCTCTGTTCCCAGGAGGGGCCCATCGAGGAACCATTTGGTCCAGTCCTCGGGCCGGCCTCAGGCCCCTCCTAAAAGCCTCCACTGCGCTAACTGGGAACTCTGGCCCAAACCTCCCCGACCTTCACTCACCTCCCAGGATCATTTCTATCCCTTGACCTACCAAAATCTGAAAAGGGGACATGGCTTGAGCAGGGGAGCCCGGCTGGGACCCCTCAGGTCTCCTAAGTGCCCCTCATCAGCACACTTGCTTTTAGGGAGTACCCTAATAATGAACCCAACCCAGTCAGCCTTGAAACTGGGGGGTGACAGTGACCCGATGACTCTGTATCCTAGTCAAGGTGACCTGTGGATGTCACGTGGGGACCTTGGAGCCTGAGGGCCTCGATGTGTGTCTTAGTAGAGGATGCAGAGGAAGAGAGGCCTGGGCTTTGGGACAGGGAAGCCTGAGGGCGGACGCCCTGTGCTCCCACAGAACCATCTCCTGGAGCCCTTTTCTAAAGGGGCTGAGGGAGGGAGGCCAGGACAGGGAGTTGGCATCAAAGAAAGCCAGGGAAGGCACCGTTCTAATGCAGGGCCCTCCCTGGGGACGGGCTGAGGGAGCAGGGCAGTGACGGACGAGCATCTGTGCGGGCAAAGGCCAACTCAGTCTGGACTTCGCTCCTCTCAGGCCTCTTCCACGGAGCTGTGGCTACATAGCCGGCCTTCGAGGGAGGCAAAACGGGAAATGAAACGGAAAACACTGTCCTGAAGGCGTGGGCTGCTTGGGGGAGCGTGGGCGGGGCAGGCAGGGCACACCACATCCCATCAAACATGGCAAGGACTGTCAAGTAAAAGCGAGATCAGACTGGTTCTACTCAGCCTTAACAGGCAGGAGAAGGAGCAGAAGTGGGGACTCCATCCACACAATCAAAGCTGTCCCAAAGAGGAACGGGGTACTGTGGGAGGTAGTGAGGTTGCTGTCACTGCAGGTCTTCAAGGGGACAAGAGGACCACCGTCTAGGAACAGCATGGAGGTGATTCACCCTTCAGATCTGCTCACTATAAATCTGTGGTCCCCAACATCTGAAGAGCCATCGTGGGAAGGAGTGTTCTTTGGGGAGAGGCCAGGCAGCTGTCCGGGCCTGCTCTGGAGGAAACTCCTGCACCAAGTGGGGCCTGGCCCAGCTGGCCCCGGGGACCTGCCCTGGAGCCTCTGCATCTCCAGGCCTCCAGAGGCCCCGCCACGGCCCCACCGAGAGAGACGTCCTCTGGAAGCCAGTCCTGAACACCTGTCCTGCCCAGTCTGCAACCATGGAGACCAAACAGCCGGCAGAGGCAGGGAACCTATTCTGGCCTGTCCCTGACCACTGCTGACAGTGGCCCCGGGTTCTCCCTGCTGCCCCCCACTTCATCGATGCCAAGCTGCCGAAGGCCTCCTTACCGATAGCTCTGGAAACAGCCAGGGTGCCATTGACTCTCCAGCAGTCCATGTAGGACACAAACCCACCCAGGGCCTCTATGCGCTCCTTCTCATCCTAGGAGAAAACAGAGGGGAAGCTGGGTGCCCCGGCTGAAGGGCTGCCAGACGAGGAGCTCTGCTAGCCCGCAGCCACAGCAACAAATCCCGAAGCCTCCCCAAGCAGAGGGAAGAGGGGCATGGAACCCAAGTGACCTTCTCCCAGCCTGAGCTGACTGATGGCAGACAGGATGCCCCTGGTGAGGGATGAGAGGCCCTCCCTCTGGCCGGGAGGTGCTCAGAGGCAGGATCCAGGCTGGCAGGCCCCAGGCCTTCATGAAGAAGGTGGGCGAGCCACAGCGGGACTCCTCGTGGCCCAGATAACCCTCCAAGGGCCCCTCGGCCAGCCCAGCACCTGGAGGGGTCGCCAGGACACCCCCCAGGAGGCCCAGGAGCTGAAATGAAGGTGACAATGAGGCGCAGGGAGAGACTCACAAAGTTTCAGAGGAGCTTCCACCTCGTGTGACCCTCTCACCCACAGCTGTGGGACTGGGGCAGGGCACGGAGGAACATCCTTCCTTTACCAAGGAGGCGGCAAGGCTTGGTGACAAACCCCAAACCCACAGCTAATGAGAGGCAGACCAGAGCCCTCCGGGCCTCTGCAGAGGGCTACAGATGGATGCCCACTCAAGACGACTCTGACTCAGTGACTTGTGCCGAGCGCCCGGCCCGCCTCCATGGGCCATCCTGGGTGCAGCACCACCTCGCAGGCTCTCTCTGGGGTAGCCTGGGCAGCCCCTTGTACTATCTTCAGGACGGACAAGCCCAAGCCTGAGCTGAAGCAGGGCATCTCCAATAAGGGGTCAGCCCAACCTGAAGCCTTCAGGCTCTGGCCTTTGGCTCTGGGCATTGGGAAGTGCTCCCTCTAGAGGGATGCCCATCTGCCTCCATTTTCTGAGTGGGACCTTCCTAACTGCAGGCTCCCATGCTATCCTGTGAGTTACTTGGAGCCGCCCCATCAGGGCCTGGGGAGGCCAGCCTCCAGCCCAGGGTGCCATGGCACCGGCCCACAATGGTTCCAGAATCTTGGCTGCTCTCCTGACACTCCCACTGTTAGCTCACCTCAGGCGTGGGACAGCAGGGTCACTCCTGGGCTGAGCTCTGCCCCGACATCGGTTCAGGTCAAGGCAACAGAAAACTGGGCCTTAAGCCTGAGACCAAGAGAACCCTGACCGCCTGTTACAGAACCTGGCCTGAGGCCAGTCCTAATGCTTCCCCTTGCTAGCACCCATGGCCTCTCTGTACCTCACCAGCATCCTGCCTCTGTCACTGGGGGCTCTGTCACCGGCTGTCACCCTCTAGGCCCTCACCCAATCCTGGGGCCAAACCAGGGCCCAGCTAAACTCCTGGGCAGAGTGGGCAGCTGGGCCCTCGCCGGGGAAAGGCAAGGGCAATCAGAATTCCTGTTTTCAAAATACTCTAAAGTCTACCAATGACCTGTGAGGTAGGGAATTCCAATACAACCATTCCCACTTTACAGAGGAGTAAACTGAGGACTCCAGTCATGCCCTTGGCAGTCAGGACTGTCACCTGGGGTAGTTTCTCTCTGGGGACACTCCTCCAGGTCCTTACCTGGCGCTCGGGCTTGTGAGGCTCCATCAGCACCAGGGCTCGCCCCTGCTGCACCAGCATGACCTGGGAGTCTCCAAGCCAGGCCACATGGATGGTGCGTCCCACGAGGAATGCGCAGACCCCTGTGGTGCCGCTGTGAAGCTTCTACAAAAAGACAGGGAGGATGGGAAGTCAATGTTGGGAAGGCCATGGGGAGCCCGGATGTGTAGGATTCCCACCAAGTACAAGGAGGACTAGTGGAAGCATTATCTTCTGCACAGCGCCTTTTCTGTCCCTCTTCAGACCCCCATGATGCCCCGACCCCTGCCCCCAGAGCTGAGACACATCACAAAAATAATGGTGACCTCTCCCACTGCTCAGATATCCTCTCATGTGAAGCACTCTCCCTCTCTGGCCTCAGCAGACCCCGGCCCACAGGCCAACACCGGCATCACCTCTTGTCTGCCTGCAGCAGACTGCCCCTGTCATCAGCCTCCCTCAATCTCCCCACTAGGTCTAACCACTCCAGCTACATTCCTGGAGAAAGTCTCTCCTCCATACGATGGCCTCAGAGGGCTCCAGGGACAGCTGCTGTACCTCGGTCCTGCAGGTTCCTCAAAGCAATCCTTGCAGGGTGTGGGCCCAGGGGCATCTCCACCCTTTTGTCCTGCCCTCCTCTTGTCAATGACCCTCCTAAAACGGGGCTCCCAGAAGCAAGCTTGATGCTCGGGATGGGGTCTGACCACGGCAGAGGGCAGCAGGACCATCCCTTTCCTGTGTCTGGACAACAGGCTTGTACGGATGTGAACCAATAAGGCATGGGCCTTCCAGGAGACTCTATAAACACCGACCTTTTCACTGATCCCAGCCAGCCCAGACCTGCAATGACCCAGGCAGCTCAATATCAGAGCTAGATACAGGACAGTGTGGTTTAGTGGGTGGGGAGGCAGGAAGCCCTCGGTTCCAACCCTACTTACAGCCCTTACTAGTAACAGGACTAGTAAGTCGGTCACTTCCCTCTTTGAGCCTCTGTCTCCTCCCTGTCGGGTAAGACTAATACCAGCAACAATCTAGGGAGCCATGGGAGTTTTCTAAGTCAGGGGGGAAGGTGGCATGTGTTTGTGTGTGGGAGAGACGCGGTCAGACCTGCGCTATAGAAAAATCCCCTTGGTGGCTGAACGAAGGATAGATTAGAGTGGGAAGAAACTGGGGGCAGCAGACCCTCCAGCAGCTACCGCAAGAGTCCAGGTGTGAGGTGATGAGGACCTGCCCCAGAGAGGTAGCAGTGTCAGTGGAGGGAAGGGGATATTCTGCAGAGGTGAAATCGACAAGACATGTTACAAAGGTGAAATAGACAAGAGATGCTGCAGAGGTGAAATGAACCAGAGATGGTACAGAGGTGAAATGGACCAGGGATGCTGCAGAGGCGAAATGGACCAGGGATGCTGCAGAGGTGAAATGGACCAGGGATGCTG